GGTGGTGCTCGCATAGACCTCCGGGAAATGTATTCCGGGAACCTCCTGTACTTGCTCAGTGGCTGTCCCAAGTTGCTCCCAGGGTTTCCGAGTTGTCTTTGAGCACTGAGGCGCAGAGGTGTGACCCTCAGAAATCAAACTACCTCCAAGTCGATGTCGCCCCAACAATAAATTCATTATTTATGAATAAACAAAACTGCAAGAGAGCCCCAGTTGCAGAAAGTCTGTAGGGAGGGGAAGTCATCCCTGTTTTCAGGTGAGGAAAACTGCAGTTCACGGAGGCATAGCGCACTCAGCATCTCGAACCTTCCTGGCTGACTTGCTCTAGTGACTTGGGGGCCTTTGAGGATCCTCAGGAGTCCCCTTGTCACCTCCGAACCCCAAGGAAATCAGAGAGAAATGGATCCTTGCTAAATGTGCTGAGTTTAGTTTCCGGTGTTGCAGAGTAGTGGTGGCAAGCTGTTGTCTGAGAGAAGTTGAGACGCGGGATCAGGTAGGTAGCTGTCCCTTTGAGACCACACTGGGAGAGGAATGCTGGGACCTGAGAGACTGGATAGAAAACATTAATAGGCCTGTATTGGGGGTAGGGGGAGGAGGCAGCCGTGGTACTGATGCCCGGATCTAAGTAAAGACGCAGCTACTGGGATGAGGCTGCTGCTATAGAAAAGAATAGAATTGCCCGGCGTTGGTGGCGCACGCCTTTAATCCCAGCACTCGGGAGGCAGAGGCAGGCGGATCTCTGTGAGTTCGAGGCCAGCCTGGTCTCCAGAGCGAGTGCCAGGATAGGCTCCAAAGCTACGCAGAGACACCCTGCAAACAAAAAAACAAAACAAAACAAAAAGAATAGGATTTAGGGAAGAGAAATAAAGAGAATAGAATTGGGGGGGGGGTGAAAAAAAGTAGGGTTTCGGGAACATCCTAAACAGCAGCCTGTACTTAGAACACACGTTGCTGTGCCTGTTCCCTCACGTGTCCTCTGCCTGGAGAAGGTCTCAGGATCAAACAACACAGCATACCGTGGGCACTCAGTAAACACTGCCACCATCTGTCCTTATTCCAGCTGCCTCATACTATCCCTTCCCTAGGGACAGACACCGGCCTCAGAGACCTGATTTGCTACTCCTGATGAGACCCACTGTGCTGGGCTCCCCAGGCCGTGCACCCCCAGAAAATGAGCCCGTCGTGGTAAAGCTGGAGGACTCTGAGGAGGAGGGAGAAGGCACTCTGTGGGACCCAGGCCCTGAGGCTGCCCGTCTACGCTTCCGCTGCTTCCGATACCAAGAGGCAGTTGATCCCCAGGAAGCCCTGGCCCAGCTCCGAGAGCTGTGTCACCAGTGGCTACGCCCAGAGGTACACTCCAAGGAACAGCTGCTGGAACTCTTGGTGTTGGAACAGTTTCTAGGTGCACTGCCTCCCAAAATCCAGGCCCGCGTGCAAGGGCAGTGGCCAGGCAGCCCTGAAGAGGCCGCTGCCTTGGTTGACAGGCTTCGGTGGGATCTGGATGGACCTCGAAAATGGGTGAGTCTATAGCTAAGTGGCAAGTCAGGGCTGACGTATTGGTCAAGCTTGGCCTCACTCTGGAGTTCTACGCCCAGCCAGACGTAGAATTTACTTCTTGGTCATATAGAAGGGTCCACCAAACAACGGCGATCCTTGTGTGGCTGCTCAGGACGGGACCCCATCCCTGCATTTTACCTGTATCCCCCGGGGTGGATGAGACACAAAGGGTACCAGGCAGCCCTGCGCCAGCAAACAGTCCTTTTGCTTTCTGCTCAGGGTCAAGGGAAGGAAAGGGGGAGGTTAGGACTTTGGAGGCCCAGGAAGTCTTGCAGTGGAGTGGGTGCCCATGGACTATGGGGTTGTACCCAGCCCCCTCTCTCTTATTGTTCGGTGCATCTTCCTAGGTCACAGTCCAGGTACAGGGAAAGGAGGTCCTATCAGAAAAGATGGAACCCTCCGGCTTCCAGCCTATACCTCACATCAAGCTTCAGACTCCAGAGCCCAGGGCGGAAACTCCTCCCGGGGCTATGCCGGAATTGCCGATGGACCTTCAAATGAAAGAGGAGACAGAGGTGGTGGAGAATCCAGGTGAGAGCAGGTGGAGTGGGCAGGGCCTACAGCCTGGCTGGACAAAGCAGTCTCCACTCCAAAGAGCCAGGCCCTGCTACGTGCAATAGCTCCCGTGTGTCTCTGGGGACTTACTCCTGCCTCCAGCCCAGCCAGCGCAGACACTATCTCTGACCACCACAGCCCCATTGCCATAGCTTTCCCCAAGCATCATGGGACAGGCTGCCTCGGGACCCACAGAGATGCAGAGGCACAAGCCAGTGATTGTCTCATCTTTGCCTTCCAAAAAGCCCTACTTGACCCCATTCCCAACTGGGCCCTCGGCTGCCCTGCCTTGTCCTGCCCAGCCTTGAGTCCATGCCCCCATCTTCCTCGTGAATGGGACCCAGCACCTAGCACTGCTGGGAATGGTGGGAACTTTCCTGAGCTGCCTGACCCTACTCTTTCTCCCCAGAGCTCCTGGAGTCTGGACCTCTTCGCCCTGCCCAAGAGGCTGCGGCTGCTCTCCTCCCTAAGGAGGCCCAGGTAAGCCCTACACAGAATGGGAGCCACCCTTTGCCCTAAAAGCCCAGGCAGGCACAGTCCAACAGTGACCACTGTGGTTTCAGGGCCATGCGACAGCACTGGACCAGACCTCTCCTCACAGCGACACTGAGCCCGATGTGCCCCCATGGAGTGAGGACCCCGTGGCCCTGTGGCATGAGGAAGTAGGGGGCATCTTCTCACCAGGTTAGTGAGATAGACGTGGTGGGACTGAGCCCCCCTCACGATCCCCTACACCCACGAATCCTTCTGTGCCTACTCAGGACAGCCCTATCCCTGCAGAACCTGCTTTAGCGTTCTCTGTCCCTGACCCATGACTCCTCCCAACTCTGCCCTGTATCGTAATACCTTGCTGGAGACAGACCTCGTGTCCCCCCAGACCCACATCCTGAACATTCTGCACAGGCCCCCAGACTCTGATCTGTGGCTGGGAAGTCAGACACCAGAGCTGGGAAGTTTGGAAACTGTGGAGGAGAGCTCAGCAGTAGACAAGGCAAGAGCAGCTCTGCCACAGTATAGCCAACTGCTGAGGTTGGACCAGGACCCTGCACAGGCTCCTCTTTCCTGGTGCACTTCCCTTTGTGAGTGCACCATCCTCCAAATTCTGGTATGGGAGATAAAGTTATGAGAGGTTACAGATCTGAAACACAGCTGTCTTGACCTTGGTAGATAGTTTATTTCTTCTTCATCCTGGGGGTGGAGCTCAGGGACTGGGCATGGTAGACCAGCAACCTGTCACAGAGCTATACCCCGGGCTTCTCACTGATGCATTATGGACAAGAACTCTACTACTGAACCTTGCCTTAGCGCCCCCCCCCAGGTAGGAGTTTTACCACTGAGCTGTACCCCCAGTGCCAGAACTGTTCTGTTGGACTCATTTTCAGGCTTCTTTTGTTTTTGTTTCGTTTTGTTTTCATTTCTGCTGCTGATGAGTCCTCGCTATCTGAAATTCACGTATCTCACTAGTAGGAAATTGCTCCGAAATGTGTTCTTTGGAGAATGATGTATTGATGGTGTAAACGAAGGCTCTTGGCCTCTGGGATGGCCCTTCAATGTTACCACTCCAGTTTTCCACCCCCTGTATTTCCACCCCCTTGTATTTGAAGGTGTGTGTGTGTGTGTGTGTGTGTGTGTGTGTGTGTGTGAGATAGCACACATGTAGTGTTCAGACACCAACTTGCAGGAGCCCGTTTTCTCTGTGTGTCCTGAGGATCCTGGGGATCAAACTCAGGTCCTCCAGGCAGCACACTGAGCCTCAGTATTCACCTGGCCTGACCAGCCCTGCTTGCGTCCCACAGGGACCACTTTGTCTTGCTTGAACCCGCTCCGCTCGTCATTCACAGCCCCAGTCTCTCAGCTCTCCTGCAGACACTCGCACCGCTGCTTCCAGCCCCTTGGTGGCTTCCTCCTTGGGCCGCTCTTGCCTCAGACAACCATGCTTTTTTTTTTTTTCTTTCAAGTACGAATTCATCTTCATCTCCATGACTCCTGCCATGTCCCTTGGCTGCTTGCCTCGTCCTCCAGCTGTGCCTTGTGTGTGTGGGGGCGGGCAGAGTTATCCTGAGAGGATTGTGTTTTGTTTTGAGACAGGGTCTGCCATATCCCAGGCTGGCCTGGAACTCGATATATAGCTGAGATGGACTTTGAACAACTGATACTACTGCCTCTGCTTCCCAAATGCTGGGATTATAGGTGTCAGATACCTCTCCTGGTTTAGGCAGTGTGGTGGATAAAACCAAGGGTTTCATGCATGCCACAAGAACTTTGGCAGCTGAGACACATCCCAGCCCTGTTGGTGATTTGGTGGTGGTGGTGGTGGTGTGTGTGTGTGTGTGTGTGCTCATGCACACGCATGCATGTTTGGATTGAATCCTGGGCTTTTGCACACACTAAACATGCAATCTACTAATGAGCTATACTCCTAGAGATCTTTTTAGTGCTTCATTTTGACACTATTTTAAATGTTACCACCATACCAGGGACAGCATTAACAGGCTGGTGGCAGGCAGATACATATGAATTCACTAAAGACAGGAGGCAGAAGTAGTTTGCTACATGGTGGTTCCTCAGCAGACAAGACAGTAAAGAGAACCTGACTCCTCCAAGCTATTCAACGAGGCTACCTTGAGTAGCGATGAGTCTCCATGCGAACAGTCATTTGGGGTGTATACTGGTTCGCAACAGTCTAGCCTTGAGACAATACTGGTTTGTCGTACCCTGAGTCAGAAATGCCTCAACAGAACCACCCATCCCAAACAGGCATCTGCAATTTTTAAAAAAGATTTATTTATTATGTGTTCTGCCTGCAGGCCAGAAAAGCACACCAGATCTGATTATAGATGGTTGTGAGCCACCATGTGGTTGCTGGGAATCGAACTCAGGGCCTCTGGAAGAGCAGTCAGTGCTCTTAACCTCTGAGACATCTGTCCAGCCCGGCATCCGCAATTTGCAGCTAGGGCAGTTAATAGTCCTGCTCAGATGTGGCAGCTTCCTTGCCCTGAACCCACCCTGCCATGAAGCAAACGCAGACTTGTTTCACGAGGTTAGAGCAGCTCAGAACCGCATCCATAGTCAATACATTCAGATAATGAAAACTCCAGAAGGTGCGCAAAGAGTACATCTGTGTCCAACAGCCAACATGGCATGTTCTCTGTGCCTTCCAGAAAGAACCTGTGTGCAAAGCAGACACAATAGAACCACGCACTACATAACATCCTGTTGGTCAACCCAGATCACAAATAACAATTATCTTACCGTCGTATTGCCAAAGCTGGATATGGTTTTTACACACCTAGCATTGGGGAGGAGGTAGGCAGAAACTGGAGGATTGCCATGTCTTTGAGGCCAGCTTGGACCACAATGTGAGATCCTGTCTTAAAAAGTTGGGGATGGGGCCGGGCATTGGTGGCGCATGCCTTTAATCCCAGCACTCGGGAGACAGAGGCAAGCGGATCTCTGTGAGTTTGAGGCCAGCCTGGTCTCCAGAGCGGGTGCCAGGATAGGCTCCAAAGCTACACAGAGAAACCCTGTCTCAAAAAACCAAAAAAGAAAAAAAAAAACGTTGGGGTTGGCTGGGTGGTGGTTCATGCATGCCTTTAATCCTAGCACTCAGGAGGCAGAGACAGGCCAATCTCTGTGAGTTGAAGGCCAGCCTGGTCTACAGAGCCAGTTCAAGGACAGCCAGAACTGCTATTACACAGAGGAACAGAGAGAGAGAGAGAAAGAGAGAGAGAGAGAGAGAGAGAGAGAGAGCTGGGCATTGGGCTGAGGCTGGTAAGGTAGTTTAAGCAGCAGCAGAAAGAGTAGTTGCTAAATTGCTAAACCTGGCAGCCTGAACTCAATCTCTGGGACCCACATGGTGGAGAGGGAGAATCATTCCCACGGATTTTCTTCTGACCTCCACATATGCATGATAGCCTGCACATGGCCCTGTAGACACACACACCACAAAAAAGAAACAAAAAACAAAACACAAAAAACATTTTTTTAATAGAAAAGCCAAAAACCATTTGATAACACTGTGCTCAAAAGTTTCCCCTTTAGTTTAAGTCACACATACCCACACAGCCAGGTGTTCAGCAGCCTTTTATAAGACAAGTAGAATCAGTCTAGGATACAGAGTGAAACACTGTTTCAAAAGCACAAAGCAAACACCAGGAGTGCTAGCACCTGCCCTTAATCTCAGCACCCTGGAGGCAAAGGCAAGCAGATTTCTGTGAATTTAAAGCCAGCTTGGTCTACATATCAAGTTTCAGACCAGCCAGAGCTACATAGAGAGGACCATTTATTTTTCTTTAAAAAGAAAAAAAAAGCAGAAAGGTAAAAAAGGTTTTTTTTTGGGGGGGCGAGGGGGGCTGGAGAGATGGCTCAGTGGTTAAAAGCACAGGTTGCTCTTCCAGAGGACTTGGGTTTGATCCCCAGAATCCACATGGTGGCTCCAAATTGTCCCAGAGTATCCAGCTGGCCATTGTAGGCACTGCACACACATGGTATACAGACATACAGGCAAAACACCCATACACATATAAAATAAAAATTTAAAGATGAAAGGACTTTTTGTTGTGGTGATGGTAGTTTTGGATTTTTTGTATTTGTGGGTTTTTTTGGTTTGGTTTGGTTGTTGTTGTTTGGGGCTGGTTTTCTCTGTGTAACCAGGGAGTCTTGATCCCACTATACATCCAAGGCTGGTGTCAAACTTGTGTCAGTTTTCCTGCCGCAGACACCAAGAGTGCTGGACTATAGGCGTGCGCCACCATGCACTGCAATTAAAGTTTTAAAAAGAAGAAAATGTATAAGGGACTGGAGAGACTGCTCAGCAGATAAGACAGCGGCGTCTCCTTTTGCAGAAGATCCAGATTGGGTTCCTAGCACCTAGGTCAGGCAAACTCACAACCCCCTGTTAACTCCAGCTCCAATGACCTCTGAGGTCACAACACTCGCCTGCACACAGACATACACACTTATACATTATTTTAAAATACTGGGACATAGCTGGCCAGTTGCAGCACATGCCCTTAATCCCAGCATTCAGAAGGCAGAGGCAGGCAGGCAGATCTCACTGAGTTCAAAGCCAGCCTGGTCTACAAAGTGAGTTCCAGGACAGCTAGGGCTATACAGACCCTGACTCAAATAAAAATGTTTTCGGCTGGGTGTTGGTGGCGCACGCCTTTAATCCCAGCCCTTGGGAGGCAGAGGCAAGCAGATCTCTGTGAGTTGGAGGCCAGCCTGGTCTCCAGAGCGAGTGCCAGGATAGGCTCCAAAGCTACACAGAGAAACCCTGTCTCGAAAAACAAACAAACAAACAAACAAAAGAAGTGTTTTCAAATGAACAACCCCGGGGCCGGAAGAATGTGCTTCTCACTACCATCATCTGAAACTGCAGTTCTGGGATCTGGCACTCTCTCTGACCTCCTCTGACCCCAGGCACGCATGTGGTGCGCAGACATACATGCAGGCAAATCATCCATACACATAAAACAGGTTTAAAGAAATTTAATGACTAAGCCAGGTATAGTGGCGCACACCTTTAGACCCAGCACTCGGGATCCAGAGGCAGGCAGATCTCTGTGAGTTCGAGGCCAGCCTGGTCTGCATAGTGAGTTCCAAGACAGCCAGGGCTACATCGTAAGTCTCTGTCTCAAAAGAATAGATAGATAGATAGATAGATAGATAGATAGATAGATAGATAGAA